ATATGTTGATGCAGCTCTCTGACCAAGGATGCCCTCCTTGAAACCGGCCATGACCCATGGATGTGAGAATCATCATTAGTGATACTAACTGGAGCCATGAGAGTCAATGTCATTGTCATTGTCTAGGGAGAATATATAGAATAAAGAGAGAATCATATAAAGAAAAGATTGAGAAAGACTGGTTAGTGTTTAAGGGGAAGCAGAAGATGAGTATTCCACAAACACTAAAGCAGTAAATAGTGAGGTAAGAAGAAAACCAGAATATGTTAGATCAAGGAATTGAAAGGCAGTACAAGGAAGAGGGTTAGGTGCATAGTCTCCAGTGCTGCTAGACAGAATTTTCTGAGTTTAGTAACAATAAGTTCATGCAGTGAAAACATCTGAAGTAGATAAACTGAGACATGATGAGGTTTAGAGAAGGATTGTTTAGCATACTTAAGAAATATTTAAGTATGCTAAAATATTCATTGGAAAAAGCCAGTAAAAGAAAAGGTTGTCAATATAAGAAAGATGAAGATAATCCATATTATAAGGTCTTTAACAGGATCAGCGTTAAGTGAGAGGAAACGTATTTCTCCATTGTTGCGAGAGAAGATGTTGTGTAGATGCAGCTAAGTGTTTAGATTTGGTGCTGCAAAGTTGAGATTACAATAAACCAATCGTTTTGTCTCCCTTTGTGAAGTAAAGAATTAGGCCATTTTCTGAGAGTAAGCATTTAGATGAGTTTGAATGTTTGAGGAGATTGAGGTAATACAGAAAATGGTAGAGAGATGTCTTAAAAAGCTTACGTGAAATTCCAGGCCACTTTGAGAATCTCATTGAGGTTAGTGATCAAGAATTGGAGTAGTATCATTTCTCCAGGGTGTATAATTTTCTTTAGTAATTATGAAAAATGAGGCATAGAGATGTAACATAGTTACCCAGAGTTAGACATCTAACAAGTGACATAGTTGAGAATCAAACATAAGTTTGTCTGGCTCCAGGGCACTGTAAAACATGAGGTACCAGCAGTGTCCAGTCATTGCAACTGGTGGAGTCTTTTCTCACGTCAGGCTCAAAATGAACATTGGAGTTTCCTGCCAAAAACCAAGGCTAGATAACACTCCCACCTGGTGCTAACAGAGCTAATCCAGGTGAGCTTACATCAGAGACGTGAAGCCAAGAACCACAGTCTATAGAGAAGCACCCTTTCTATGGCAATCAGGAGCTGCTCTTTAATATTTTGAAGAGCATGCACAGGGAAAACAATATATTATTATTTATATTTAATGATAAAGTTGATCAAGAATGTATATTTAATAGTTTCTATGCTGAGCATTTAGACATAGAGTGATTGAAGCATATGCTTCAGGTAGTAGTAAAAATAATCACTTTGACTCAGATCAAAATGGGGTACAGCAAGCAACAGGGACACAGAGGAGAGGCCTGAAAAAAGAGCAACAGGAATCAAACCTAGGAGAGACACATGCCCAGTAGCTCTCCATGGATACGGTCTTCACTAGTTTCTTAGTGAGTGGGGAAGGGACTATAAGGATCACAATGTATGTTATTTATGGATTGCACATTTGTAAGTGTGTGTTTATGTGTATGTGCTTGAGATAATTATTTATAATATTCACTTGTTATTTCACTGTGTATAGGTTTAGCCATTTAAAAACATTTTTCCTTTTGTTTTTATAAGGTTTTCAAATAAAGCCTTTTTTTTTCATATTTTCATACCTAAATGATTAGACAAGGTTAGACTTCAATCAGTAAATGTGGTCAGGATATCTTATGGGTCTATAGCATCTTTATTCAGAGTTAAAAAGTCAAACTAGCAAAATATTTGCTGAAATATGACACAAAGTTTTAAAAAGCCTAACATATAAAAATCTCTCACAAACTGATAAGAAACACAGTAACAGAAATTAAGTCCCACTGAGTGTCATATGATGGTGGAATTCTCCAAACAATGAATAAATTACTTAAAAAAAGCCATGACCATATCAAGCAAAAGCAAATTGAAATACATACTAGAAAATCTTATTAAGCGTTGATAAGTATAATACATGTGTCCATTAAATTAATATAAATTAGAATATTATAATCAGTAATTTGCAGTAACTTTTATATTACAATATTGCTGTTGTAAGTAGAAATTTGTTTATATTGTTTACTGAGAACAGCATGGAAAAAAAAAGTAAGTAGAAATTTATACTTTTTTTCTGATAAATTCTACCTTGAGAAATATTTAGAATTATAGTAAAAGATTTACCTACTGAGCTGTACTAGCACAATAGCTGAGGCATATTTCCATGCAAAGGCTGGTAGGGACACTCCCTGTAATAAAAACCACATGGATGGACCATTGTCGTTTTCTCTGGCTCAACTTCCTAACCATGAAACGCCCTCGGTAACCTTGCAAATGCCTGAGATCTGAAAAGAGCTCCCTTACAAGATAGGTTGTGTTCCTCAAAAGAGTTATTACATTCTGAGGAAAAGGCACTCAAATTGAAGTTGGTAGCTGCCCAATGCCCCTCCTCTTCTTGGAAGTATCATCTGTCCAAGCAGCACATTCCAAGAGGGAACTTTTCTACTCAGGTTTTAAAGATACAGTCAAAACACTGCTTGATTTTTAATTACAAGCAAAAGAAATCCACCTATAGATTTAAGCAGAAAGTTGTTGAGTAGGATATTGTACAGAGGTTTCGAGAACTAAGTTCAAAAACCGAAAGGAATAGCAAAGGCTGGGTAGCTCCCAGTAATCCAGCCAAATTCTACACAACAAGACTCTGATGTAGATACTGAATCCTGGGTGTTTCTGCCTCTACAAATGCTGCCCTTGAAAAATGTATATTGCTGCTACAGTTACTCTCTCACACAAATAGATTTCCCAGGATCTACTCTTAAAAGTATTATTTGTTTCCATTCAAAGTTTAGGATTGGTGCAGGCAATGGGTAAAGCTCACATGTCTGCATCCTAGCAACAGAAGAGGTGTGAGTCATAAGTATCTGACTTTTGGTTTCAAATGATAGGAAGTGGGTTCTGCCTCCCACTAAGATTTATATGTAGGGAATGTGCCAAAGTGCGACCAATTTATTATTATTATTTTTAAGACAAAAGCCTATTGAACAAAAGGCAAATTAAAAATACACACTGAGGCCAGGCAGGGTGGCTCACACATGTAATACCAGCACTTTGGGAGGTTGAGATGGGTGGATCACCTGAGGTCAGGAGTTTAAAACCAGCCTGGCCAACATGGTGAAACCCCATCTCTACTAAAAATACAAGAAATATCTGGGCATGGTGGCTGGTGCCTGTAATCCCAGCTACTCAAGAGGCTGAGGCAGGAAATCTTTTGAGCTCTAGAGGTGGAGATTGTAGTGAACCAAGATCACACCATTGCACTCCAGCCTGGATGACAGGGAGAAACTCTGTTTCAAAAAAACCAACCAACCAACCAACCAAACACATTGAAAAATGTTATTAAATTAGCAAACATCCAGAATCTGCCATCAGATGGAAGGAGAAAGAAGAAGATGAATGTAGTAAAATTAAGATAATTTATTTTTCATTCACGTAAATAAAAAATATTATTTCACATAAATGGAAAATAACATGACAGCAACAAGAAAAATAATATGTAATATGAAATATGCTAGGAAAGAAACAAAACAAAATCTTGTAGAATGGGTGAAAATATGGCTGAGTACTACGGCTCATGCCTATACTCCCAGCAGTTTGGGAGGCCAAAGTGGGCAGATCACAAGATCAGGAGATCAAGACCATCCTGGCCAATATGGTGAAACCCCCATATCTACTAAAAATACAGAAATTAGCTGGGTATGGTGGTGTGTGCCTGTAGTCTCAACTACTCGGGAGGCTGAGGCAGGAGAATTGCTTGAACATGAGAGGCAGAGGTTGCAGTGAGTCAAGATCATGCCACTGCACTCCAGCCTGGCAAGAGCAAGACTCTTATAAATAAATAAATAAATAAATAAATAAATAAATAAATAAATAAATGGTTGAAAACACTAAATTGAAAGGAATATAAAGTATAATAGGTGGGTTCTGGAATGTCTCTATGCTGGTTTCAAAACAAATTCTACAACTTACTAGCTATGGAGCCTTGGGAAAGTTATTTAAATATTTTCTGCTTCAGATTTTTTGCATTTATAAAATGGCATGCAAAATACATTAAAGGAAAGCTGACTCAGCAGAAAATGTGTAAATGTAAATATATTCCTAAACAAACAAGAAATAATGAAAATTTTTAAAAATTAAGCCTTTAAGAAGTCAAGAACGAAAAAAAATAAATCTAAATATTATTTAGAAAGAAAGAAATTAATAAAAATATATACAGAAATTAATAAACCAGAAAGTGTAAAATGTTAAAATAATTGACTTGTTAACTAAAAGGAAATGGATATCTAGAAAATAAAAACAAATATAAAATAGGTAAATTTTTAAAACTTTAATTATAAAAACTGTTCTGGTGAAATGTTGAAAATGCATACACAGAAGAATGTAGTCACAGGTAAACTAATAAAACAAAATTTGCACATATGCTGAAAAGGGTTAATTTATTTAATATTCAAAGAGATATTTAGAAATCAACAAAAAATACTTAAAAAGTCCAATGAAAAATAGGTAAAAACCACGAATGTACAGTTTCCAAAGGAAATAACAGACAAAGATTCGATTAACACCTTAGTAAGACTATGTCATTTCTGGCAGAGTGGGCTACACCAGTATAGAAAGTGTCTATAAAAAAGCCAATATTGGAGCCTCTATTCTATGAGAAGTGTGAATATATAACGATAAGGCAATTCATAATGGAAATCTTTGAACTTCAGGGAGATGATGTTACTCTACAATGCATATATTTAACCAAACTAGGCAATAAACAATACATACACCCATAATTTAAGAAACTGGGTGAAATAGACTAAATGAAAGTGGCAAAGTCAAATTAAATATAAATACCAGAAATATATAAGGAGCTTTTCTGTCTTTGTAGGCTTTGTATCATGGACCGGATGTGAAAGCAGTTATTAACATGTATAGCAGACTAATCCACCGTGTTCGACATCGACATGGTCTTTGGAGGACAAGACAAATTGTCAACTTAGCAGAGCTGGAGGAATGGATGGACCGAAAAAAATGTAAGTGATGCAGATACTTCTGGTTTGAATTTAAGCTTGGAGTTAGTTTAACCATTGAAATTTTACATATAATTATCTGTAGAAAGCAAAGGTAGATTATATTTTATATTGCTGTAAACAATTTGCATTTTAAGTTAGCGTGTTGTATATTTGAATTACTTTATTAGCATTCTCTGCAAGTAACAGAAAACTCATTCTAGCTAACTAAAGCAAAGAGGAAATTTAATGGGAGAGTATTGCAAAGATAGTTAAAGAATCAGATTTCAGACTGAATATGAAACATAACTGCTTCAGAGATCTAGGAAACAGGAAATAAGGGACAATGTCGATTTGTCTCTTGGGGATAGATAAGCCCTACCACTTAAAGACTCTTCGTTCCTATGCTTTAAATTCATATTCCAGGGAGACAGTAACTGAGACCCTATAGCTTGAGTCAAAAATCCAACACTTTGCAGTGGGGGTAAGGAATCTTGCTTGAGAATTGCACAGAAAGTGTGTTCGTTGGAGGAGGGATAGCTGCACAAAGGAAAAGTATTTATATCAGGACAGTAGTTAATGGACACTGAGCATACTGAATAACACATTGCTTATTAATATTAGAATTCTATTCACAGAACAAATTCTCCAATTTATATTTTAATTTTCAGAGATCCCAGTTTATATTTATATTGAATGAATTCAGTATTGCTTAGGATTAGGATAGATTATTAGGGCCAGTTTCTTGACTAAAAAATTGATACAAGTGAATTATACTTAAAAAGAATCATTTTCTTACTGCTTTATAAGGTAAAAATGTGAAAAATTTGGTTGTCTCACTTAGTCATACAGTGTTTATTTTACATTTAAGACTGTAAGTTTCATGACAGGGAACTTACAGATGGAAAGACAAGAAGATGAAAGAACAAGAAAGCAAGAGAAAGCGAGAGAGGTGGAGAAGGAGGAAGATCCTTCTCCCATTAGGAAGCTACTTAGACTCCTTTTACTTACAGAATTGAGAGAGAGACAGAGAGAGAGAGATAGTGAGAGAGTCATATATATTTATCAGTAAATACTCACTATCTAGAAAATGCCCGGTTTACAAGAAGGGCTAAAAAATATTTGTTAAAATGATATTTTTAAATTGTTTATTAGTTTTGACAAAATTATGTGCCAAAAGCTATTTACAGATAACTGGAACTCTTTGAGTTAGAATAATTTCTTTTCTGTGGTTAGAGGTAGAGGCAGGAAGAGAGAGAGGAGAAAGAGAGAAAAGAGGGAGCATGATTTTTGTATATAAGTCAGAGGTTGCTAAATCAATTAACCCAGCCAAGGGCCAACAGCCTGGTTTCTAGAGAAAAGAGCAGAAAGAGCAAAGTGTTGGAGAGATGGAAAGACAGGAAGAAAGAACAAGAAAGCAAGAGAGAGAGAAAGGCAGAGAAAGAGAAAAATCCTTCTCCCATTATGAGGCTACTTAGATTCCTTTTACTTATAGAACTGAGATCTATATATATATATATATATATATATATATATACACACACACACACACACACACACAGAGAGAGAGAGAGAGAGAGAGAGAGAGAGAGTGTATGTGTGTGTGTGTGTGTGTCAGATTTTAAGACCTTTGCCCATAAACTCTCCATACCACTAGTACAAAATTCAGGAAGATCTTAGTACTTTTTTATGGTTAGTAGTTTATATTACATAATCTAATATGAATGTGCCAATTTTATACTATTTATCAAAATATATGCTTTACAGTTATTTTACTGACAACCTTTTCTTTTCCATCCACTTTAATTTTAAGCTTCTGACTTCCAAATCACATATTCTTTTCAAAAAGCTCCTATTATTTTACTCAGTCTTCTCTTCATACCCCAAACTATCACTAAATTCATTTTTATTCTTATAGACTGTTGCTTATTTTTCATAGCTTTACTTTCTTTCCATGACTTCTCAGTTTGTAACTGCAGATTTCAATATTTTTGCATCCTAAAATATCCCCTCATTTTGAAAAAAATAGTTACCGTGATTTCTGTTTTCCAGCCTGAACTCTGATGCTTTCTAGCTGAGAAGCTTTTTCAGTAAAGCTCTTGTAGAAAGTGAGTGTTAAGCCAACTAGATTATGAGGAAAGACGGTTCTAAGCAGAGGGAGCAGCAAGCACAAAGGCCTTAATTTGGAGGCAGCTAGTCTTAGAGGAAGCCAGGAGACTAATATTACTGGAATAAAGTTTTGAGTTGAGAGCAGAGTAAAATGAAATTGTAAGGGTAGTGGGGAGTGCAGGTTGTGTCAAGCTTTATAGACCATTGCATTTTACCTTGAGAGAACTGGGAAGCCTTTGGAGGACTGGGAACAGAGGACTATGAAGCAACTTGTGTTGCAGATATCACTCTGGTAATTTTGTTGAGAATAGGCTAACATGAGGCAAAAACAGAATAAAGGAGTCCAATTAGAACAGATGGTGCTCTAATATAGGAGCTGAACAGTAGAACAGAATTTGGCAAATGAATAATTTAAAGAATTACCAACCAAAACATCCATTTACATTGAGGGGTAACTCAACAGAGACATAATTTGCAAGTTCTAATTTATCTTCATGTTACTTAGAAAATTCCTTCCATCCTTTCTTCATCCATGTGTTGATGGCTAATTGGTTGATGATACTTGGCAGATATCTATACACCTTTTAAAGCATCTTTCAATAATCAGAAAATTTCATTAATTTTCATGATTTAAATTTTATATTTACCCTAAATATATCATCCTTGAATAATAATTCTTCTAGCATGTTGCTGAAAGTTTGCTCATACGGCATAATTTACAGGTTAAGGGCACTGTTCTCAATACTGTTTCAAAGACATAATATTAATAGGTATGCCAATATTATCTTTTGAGAAACATATAAAACTGATTAATTCAAGGAAAAACTAATAAAGCTCTATATACTTTTTCAAGGAGAAATACATTTACTTAATCAAAAAAGTGAAAGGTGACATTATTTTTGTTTTAGTTTAGAATCAGACTCTGAGACAAGAATTCAAGTACAATTAATTTTTTTGAGAGTTAATCCTAGGCAATACTGTTGATCAAATGGAGAAAGGAGACAGACGGAAAGGAGTCAAAAGAGAGTCCAGTATCAAGCAAATTACTATGTGGACTACTAAAGCCTAATTCCTCTAGGTAACTAAGAAAAAACAGTGTAAACAACTTGCCTTTAGTGCTGGGTCTATATCAACCAGCTCCCCTGAGTCAGTGGTTGAGGTCCACTCCAAAGGGGGTCTTAGTTTCCTTTGTGCCTGGCTTGCTGCGCAGGTGGGCTGAGTAAATGCCTGCAGCCAGAGGGAGCCCTTAGGCAATGGAATGAGGATGCTGGCAATTGAAAGTCAAGTTAGCATACCCAGAAATAAGGGACATGGAGATATAGATGGGGCACTGAAAGAAACGATCTAGTTTGCTTACTTCAAAAGAGACAAACAGTCATAAATATAGTAAATATAAATTTCCATTTATTTTACTGCTGTGTTTCAGGATCTCAAATAGCTCTTCATATTTAGACAGTCATTAAATATGTCTTTAATTTGTTGACATCTCATGGTTATCTCCCTCAACAAAATGAAGGAATGAATGGAAAAACTGAAATCCATGTGGTTGAGTACCAGGATGATAAAACTTCTATTAGAAACCACCCTGGTGCCCTTTGTCATTGGCAGCAAGAGCTAAACCTGTGAACAGCCCCTGACATCCTGTAAATACTGACTTATTCAATCAGCTTCATGGGGTTAAATGTAACATTTCAAAGTAGACACTCAGTGTCACTTTTTTGAAAAAAAAAATTATTTATGGAAAACTACACTTATAAAATATATGCATCAGTTCTCTTTGTTGTTATCTAACTCCTTTCTAATGTCACACTGAATGAGCAAAAACTGGAAGCATTCCCTTTGAAATCTGGCACTAGACAAGGATGCCCTTTCTTACCACTCCTATTCAATATAGTATTGGAAGTTCTGGCCAAAGTAATCAGGCAAGTAAAAGAAATAAAGTGTATTCAATTAGGAAAGGAGGAAGTCAAATCATCTCTATTTGCAGACGACATGATTGTATATTTAGAAGACCCTATCCTCTTAGCCCAAAATCTGCTGAAACTGATAAGCAACTTCAGCAAAGTCTCAGGATACAAAATCAATGTGCAAAAATCAGAAGCATTCCTATACACCAATAACAGACTTAAAGCGAGCCAAATCAAGAACAAACTGCCATTCATAATTGCTACAAAGAGAATAAAATACCTAGGAATACAACTAATGAAGGATGTAAAGGACCTCTTCAAGGAGAACTACAAACCACTGCTCAAGGAAATAAGAGAGGACACAAAGAGATGGAGAAACATTGTGTGCTCATGGTTAGGAAGAATCAATATCATGAAAATGGCCATAGGACCCAAAGTAATTTATAGATTCACTATCCCCATCAAGCTACCAATGACCTTCTTCACCAGACTGGAAAAAAAACACTTTAAAATTCATATGGAACCAAAAGAGAGCCCACAGAGCCACGTCAATTCTAAGCAAAAAGAACAAAGCTGGAGGCATCACGTTACCTGACTTCAAACTATACTACAAGGCTATGGTTATCAAAACAGCATGGTACTGGTACCAAAACAGAGATATAGACTAATGGAACAGAACAGAGGCCTTCGAGGCAATGCCACACATCTACAGCCATCTGATTTTTGACAAATGTAACAAAAGTAAGCAATGGGGAAAGGATTCCCGGTTACTAAATGATGTTGGGAAAACTGGCTAGCCGTGTGCAGAAAGCAGAAACTGGACCCCTTCCTGACACTTACACTAAAATTAACTCCAGATGGATTAAAGACTTAAGAATAAGACCTAACATAAAAACCCTAGAAGAAAACCTAGGCAAAATCACTCAGGAGATAGGCATAGGCAAGGACTTCATGACTAAAACACCAAAAGCACTGGCAACAAAAGCTAAAATAGACAAATTGGATCTAATTAAACTCTAGAGCTTCTGTACAGCAAAAGAAACAATCATTAGAGTGAACCAGCAACCAACAGAATGGGAAAAGATTTTTGCAATCTACCCATCTGACAAAGGACTTATATCCAAAATCTACAAAGAACTAAAACAGACTTACAAGAAAAAAACAAATAAATCCATTCAAAAGTGGGCAAATTCGATATGAACAGATACTTTTCAAAAGAAAACCTATATGAGGCCAACAAACATGAAAGAATGCTCATCATCACTGGTCATTCGAGAAATGCACATCAAAACTACATTGAGATACCATCTCATGCTAGTTAGAATGGTGATCATTAAAACATCTGGAGACAACAGATGCTGGAGAGGGTGTGGAGAAATAGGAACACTTTTATACTGTTGGTGGGAGTGTAAATTAGTTCAACCATTGTGGAAAGACAGTGTGGTGATTCCTCAAGGACCTAGAAATAGAAATTTCATTTGACCTAGCAATCCCAGTACTGGGTGTATACCCAAATGATTACAGATTGTTCTATTATAAAGACACACACACACATATGTTCATTGCAGCACTGTTTACAATAAAAAAGACTTGGAACCAACCCAAATGCCCATCAATGATAGACTGGACAGGGAAAATGTAGCACATATACACCATGGAATATTATGCAGCCATCAAAAACGATGAGTTCGTGTCCTTTGCAGGGACATGGATGAATCTGGAAACTGTCATTCTCAGCTAACTGACACCAGAACAGATAATCAAACACTGCATGTTCTCACTCATAGGTGGGTGTTGAACAATTAGAACACATGGACACAGGGAGGGGAGCATCATACACTGAGGTCTGTTGTGAGGGACTAGGGGAGGGACAGTTGGGGGGTAGGGATTTGGGGAAGGATAACATGGGGAGAAAAGCCATATATAGGTGATGGGGAGGAAAGCAGCAAACCACATTGCCATGTATGTTCCTATGCAACAATCCTGCATGTTCTTTACATGTACCCCAGAACCTAAAATGCAATAAATATATATATACCTGAAAGTAGAATACATGAAATTAGTGAGCAAAAAGTATACATTGCTCCCAATTCGGGGGCAACTTAAGAAATAGAATAAGCCATCCAAAGTGGAATTACCAATGTCAGTAGTTAGAATATGCGTAAAAGCCAAAAGGAGATTAAAAGATTAGAGGAGCTAATAAACAATGAGGAGTTAAATGGATCAGTAGGAGTCAGGTTCCCCGAAGTCCTGGAATGAAAGCTATGTCTTATGATATGGTTGAGTTTACATTGTAGGATTTATGGTCAATTGTCATGAAACCAGTATAGAAGATACCAGTATTCATCTTGGGGATTCAAGTAAAAGTTTCACTACTGTGGAATGTGAGGAGAGAGAATCATGCACACTTCCTTCTACTGTTTGCCAGAAGGTTGACATAGTGCTAGTCTAATCATGGAGAGTTACTGGTAGACATGAAAATAAATCTGGAGTTAAAGTTTTTTATTTAATATATTTTTTAAAAGAAAATATTTTCATTTACATTTTTGTCCTTTTAGTCTATGAAATAATGTTTGCTAAGAGAGAAAATTGGCAAAAAATAGAAAGAGGAGAGCTACCCAGTTTCTTCAGTGACTGTGGTCATTTCCCAACTCAGAAACAAATTGATGATACTTGGGACCTGGTCCATCAAGGTGAGTGGTTTCTCATTTCTTCTTCTTTTATTTTTTCTTTCTTTTCCTTTCCACTTCCTTCTTTTCTCTCTGCCAGCTTTTCTCAGTTGTTCTCTTCTTTTCTTCATTCCTTCTCTTACTTTTACTAAACTTGTTTATAAGTCCTTTTCCTCAAATTTCTTTGTATGTGATCTTAATATATGTGAAGGAAAATATGTGAAAAGTAAGTTAAAAGAAGTTAATACAATATAGATTTTTGGAGGGAGATGGAAGAGATGGTTTTCATTTTCATAGCTTTTAAGTATTTTTGATATAAAGTAAGTTACATCAAACTGAGTATATTTTAAACTATTATATTTTAAATACTGACACTAGGAGGGTTTCTCCTGGATAATTAGATTTGATACTGGAGAACATAATTCAGTTAAAATATATAAACATTGTAAGCTATTTCAATACAATAGACTGTCACAGAAAATCATTTCTGAATAGTATATAAAAATATTGTTTACAAAAATTTTAATAATTTAAATGGAGCAGGATTTCTGTCTTCACTAAAGACTAATAAGGGGATGTAAAGTGTCACAAAGTCATGAAAAAATATCAATAAATTTTCCTTTAATTTTTTAAGATTCTTCTCAGCTTTTCTGTCTTTCCTCCCCAGCTTTACTGAAGTATAATTGACAAATTAAAATGGTTTATATTAAAGATGTAATGTGATAATTTGAGATACATATTCATTGTGTAATGACCACCACAACCAAATTAATCATATATCCATCACCATCCATGGTCACCGTGTTTGTGTGAGTGTGAGCGCATGGTGAGGATGTGTAAGATCTATTCTTCTAGCCTATTTCAGGTAGTCAATACAGTATTAACTACAGTCACCATGCTGTACATTAGATACTTAGAAGTTATTTGTCTTTCAAACTGAATGTTTGTATGTTTTGACCAACATCTCCTTAATTCCCTCCAACCCTCAGCCCTGGCAACTGCTATCCTATTCTATGTTTTTATATTAACTTTAATAGATTCCACATATAAGTGAGACTATACAGTATTTGTATCACCATATCTGGCTTATTTAACCTAGCATAATGTCTTCCAAGTTCATCTTCATTAAAACAAATGACAAAATTTCCTTAGTTTTCAAGGCTGAATAGTCTTCTATTGTGTATAATACCAAATTTTCTTTATCCATTCATCTGTTGATGGGCACTTACATTGCTTTCTTAACTTGGCTATTGTGAATAATGCAGCAAGGGGGTACAGATACCTCTTTAACAAAATAATTTCATTTCTTTGGATATATACCCAGTTGTAGGAGTGTTGAATCTTATGGTAGTTCTATTTTTAATTGTTTATGGAAATTCCATATTGTTTTACGTAATGGGTATACTAATCTACATTCTATTAACAGTGTACAAGGATTCCCTTTTCTCCACATCTTTGCCAATACTTGCTATCTCTTGTCTTTTTAATAATAGTTATAATACTAAGTGTGAGGTAATATCTCATTGGCATTTTGACTTACATTTCCCTGATGATCATATACCTCTTGGCCATTTGCATATCTTCTTTGGAAAAATGTTTATTCAGGTTTGTTGGCCATTTTTGAAATACATTATTTGGGAGGTTTTGCTATTAAGTTGTATGCTTATCATTTTAAATACTAATTCTTTACCAGGTATATGGTTTGCAAATATTTTCTCCCATTCTGTGAGTTCTCTTTTCATTTTGTTGATTGTGTTTGTGGATTATTTGTTCTTTTTGCTGTTGAATTGTTTCATTATTATTATTATTATTATTATTATTATAATACTTTAAGTTCTGGGATACATATGCAGAATGCGCAGGTTTGTTACATAAGTATACACATGTCATGGTGGTTTGCTGCATCCATCAACTTGCCATCTACATTAGATATTTTTCCAAATGCTCTCTCTTCCCTAGCCCCCCATGCCCTGACAGGCCCCAATGTGTGATGTTTCCTTCTCCGTGTCCATGTGTTCTCATTGCTCAACTACCACTTATGAGTGAGAACATGCGGTGTTTGTTTTTCTGTTCTGGTGTTAGTTTGTTGAGAATTATGGTTTCCAGTTTCATCCACGTCCCTGAAAGGACATTAACTTATCATTTTTTATGGCTGCATAGTATTCCATGGGGTGGATGTGCCAGAGTCTATCACTGATGAGCATTTGGGTTGGTTCCAAGTCTGCGCTATTGTAAACAGTGCTGCAATAAACATACATGTGCATGTGTCTTTATAGTTGAATGATTTATAATCCTTTGGGTTATACTTAGTAATGGGATTACTAGGTCAAATGGTATTTCTAGTTCTAGATCCTTGAGGAATCACTGCACTGTCTTCCACAATGATTGAACTAATGTAGGTAAACGAATTTACACTCCCACCAACAGTGTAGAAGTGTTTCTATTTTTCCACATCCTCACCAGCATCTGTTGTTTGCTGAGTTTTTAATGATTGCCATTCTAACTGGCGTGAGATTGTATCTCAATGTGGTTTTCATTTGCATTTCTTTAATGACCAGTGATGATGAGCTTTTTTCATGTTTGTTGGCTGCATAAATGTCTTCTTTAGAGAAAGGACTGCTCATATCCTTTGCCTACTTTTTGATGGGATTGTTTGTTTTTTTCTTGTAAATTTGTTTAAGCCCCTTATAGATTCTGGATATTAGCTCTTTGTCAGATGGATAGATTGCAAAAATTTTCTCTCATTCTCTAGGTTGTTTGCTCACTCTGATGATAGTTTCTTTTGCTATGCAGAAGCTCTTATTTTAATTAGATCTTTTTGTCTATTTTGGCTTTTGTTGCCATTGTTTTTGGTGTTTTGGTCATGAAGTCTTTGCCCATGCCTATGTCCTGAAGGATATTGCCTAGATTCTCTTCTAGGGTTTTAAGGGTGGTACGTATTATGTTTAAGTATTTAATCCATCTTGAGTTAATTTTTGTATAAGATGTAAGGAAGGGATCCAGTTTCAGCTTTCTGCATATGGCTAGCCAGTTTTCCCAACTGCATTTATTAAATAGGGAATCCTTTCCCCATTGCTTGTTTTTATCAGCAATGGGGAATGTCAATGTCAAAGATCAGATGGTTGTAGACATGTGATGTTATTTCTGAGGCTTCTGTTCTGTTCCATTGGTCTGTATATCGTTTTTGGTACCAGTACCATGCTGTTTTGGTTACTCTAGCCTTGTAGTATAGTTTGAAGTCAGGTAGCATGTTGCCTCCAGCTTTGTTCTTTTTGGTTAGGATTGTCTTGGCTATATGAACTCTTTTTTGGTTCCGTATGAAATTAGGTAGTTTTTTGTTTTTTGTTTTTTTTTTCCAATTCTATGAAGAAAGTCAATGGTAGCTTGATGGGGAAAGCACTGAATCTATAAATTACTTTAGGCAGTATGTCCATTTTCATGATGTTGATTTTTTCTATCCATGAGCATGGAATTTTTATCCATTTATTTGTCTCCTCTCTTATTGCCTTGGGCAGTGGTTTGTAGTTCTCCTTTAATAGGTCCTTCACATCCCTTGTAAGTATTCCTAGGTATTTTATTCTTTTTGTAGCAATTGTGAATGGGAGTTCACTCATGATTTGGCTCTCTGTTATTGGTGTATAGGACTGCTTGTAAATTTTGTACATTGATTTTGTATCTTGATACTTAAGCTGAAGTTGCTTATCAGCTTAAGGAAATTTTGGGCTGAGATGATGGGGCTCTCTAACTATACAATGATGTCATTTGCAAATACAGACAATTTGACTTTCTCTTTTTCTATTTGAATACCCTTTATTTGTTTCTCTTGCCTGATTGCCCTGGCCAGAACTTCCAATACTATATTGAATAGGAGTGGTGAGAGAGGGCATCCTTGTCTTGTGCCAGTTTTCAGAAGGAATGCTTCCAGTTTTTGCCCATTCAGTATATTGGCTGTGGGTTTTTCATAAATAGCTTTTATTATTTTGAGATACATTCCATTGATACTTTGTTTATTAGAGTTTTTAACATGAAGGTCTGTTAAATTTTGTTGTCAGCTTTTCTGCATCTATTGAGATAATAATGTGCTTTTTGACATTGATTCTGTTTATTTGATGGATTATGTTTATTGATTTGCATATGTTGAACCAGCCTTGCATCCCCGGGTGAAGCCAACTTAATCATAGTGGATAATCTTTTTGATGTGCTGCTGGATTTAGTTTCTCAGTATTTTATTGAGGATTTTTGCATCAATATTCATCAGGAATATTGGTTTGAAATTTTCTTTTTTTTGTATCTCTGTCAGGTTTTTATATCAGGATAATGCTAGCCTCATAAAATGAGTTAGGAAGGGGCCGGGCGCGGTGGCTCAAGCCTGTAATCCCAGTACTTTGGGAGGCTGAGGTGGGTGGATCATGAGGTCAAGAGACCGAGACCATCCTGGTCAACATGGTGAAACCCTGTCTCTACTAAAAATACAAAAAATTAGCTGGGCATGGTGGTGCATGCCTGTAATCCCAGCTACTCAGGAGGCTGATGCAGGAGAATTGCCTGAACCCAGGAGGCGGAGGTTGCAGTGAGCCGAGATCATGCCATTGCACTCCAGCCTGGGTAACATGAGCGAAACTCCGTCTCAAAAAAAAAAAAAAAAAAAAAAGAGTTAGGAAGGATTCCCTCTTTTTCTGTTGTTTGGAATAGTTTCAGAAGAACTGATACCAGCTCCTGTTTGTACCTCTGGTTTAAGTCAGCTATGAATCTGACTGGTCCTGGACTTTTTTGGTTGGTAGGCTATTAATTCCTGCCTCAGTTTCAGAACTTGTTATTAGTCTGTTTAGGGATTTGACTTCTTCTGGTTTAAACTTCGGTAGGTGTATGTGTCCAGGAATTTATGCATTTCTGTTAGATTTTTTAGTTTATTTGTGTAGAAGTGTTTATAGTGTCCTCTGATGGTAGTTTATATTTCTGTGAGATCAATGGTGATATCCCCTTTATCATTTTTTATTGCATGTATTTTATACTACTCTCTTTTC